TTTTTTTTTTTTTTTTTTTTTTTTTTTTTTTTTTTTTTACACGAGAGGTTCATTAGTTCCTGTAGAAGTCAATGAGTTTTCTTCTGGATAGAAGCCAGTTGCATATGCATTGGGCAAATCGAGGGAAAGATTACTGCCCAGGAGGAGGATTCTTGCCTGGCTTTTTTGCAATGTACTAAACAGAATTAGTTTAGAGGGCAATTTAGTTCAAGATGGGATCCGTGGAGCTTCACAGAAGGGGAATTTGGCGTTGAATTTGGCGTTTTTCCAGCTGCTCTGTTTGGGCTGTGGATTAAGTGCTTGGCCCAGATCCAGCAGAGCTCTGCCTTCTCAGTGTTACCATGGGGCCAGAAGTGCTGATCTCAGTGCAGTGGAGATGAGTTTCCCTTTCCTGAGTGGCACGTGTCCTGCCCCTACACAGAGTAGTGAGCCCCAGCAATAAGCTTACATGGATGCTGGGATATTATCCTACTCCCCTAATCCCTGTTTTCTTGCTTTCAGGATTGTGAGCGTGAAGGAGACCCGGCTGACAAGTCTAGTGGCAAACTTCTTGGTTGGCCTCTCGCTCCTGCTCCTTCCTTTCCCTCTCCAGTGGATCCCGAAGCCGGTCCTTTATGGCCTCTTCCTCTACATCGCGTTGACCTCCATTGACGGGAACCAGCTCTTTGAAAGGGTGGCTCTCCTGCTCAAAGAACAGGTACGCAGACTGGGGCACCAGCCTGGCGGAACAGAGAAGGAAATTGTATTGATAACCTTAGCACCAAACTGTGCCAGGAGCTAACGTGGAAAGATGCCGGTGTTGGGAACAGCAACGTGTTCTCAGGAGGCTGATTTCCAGCTCCAGCTTGCATATTCCTTTCACCTTTTTCTGCAGAGTGGGAGTGAAAGTTGATGTCTCTAGTTTAGCCTGGCTGCCACTGACGAGTCTCCATTAAAGCGGACAAAGGAGCGGGAGAATAATACAGTGTCAAACAGAAGTGGCATGGTTATTGTTGGGTTAAAAAAAAAAAAGTGGTTGAATTGTTCATAGAACGGCGCTGCATCTTGTCTGTCTTTCAAATTCTGGCTAAATTGCTTTCTGCATTTTCCTGCCACAAAAGCAATTGAGCTTTCTTGTTCAGAGCGATGTCTTGGATGTAATCCTTCTCTTTTCAGTCTGATAGGAATTGCTCTGGAGCCCTTATCTCCAGAAGGCAAAAAACAAGTGCACGAATGGTGTTGGGATAGTTGCTACCAGTGAAGACACCCCCTAAAGTGTGGAGAGCACAAATCAAAAATATATTAAAACAATAACATTATTAAAAACACAGTTGCATAAGCTTGCTCACTGAACGTAGAGTAAGTTTCAAAATCTCCACTGTGACGTCATGTCAGTTGCAGAGTACATGCATTTTAAAAAATAATAATTAAAAAAATATTAAAAAGCACATACATGATGTCAGTAGGTGGTGATCTTTATTTCCCCAGCGTAGCAAAAAATTACCTGTTCTGAAGCTTTATTTTACACTTTCATTTTGACATGTGCGAAATACCACAAGATAAGATTTTAAACTCAAAAGGAAATTACTTGCATTACTGAAACCCTTCTGATGTGGGGTGAAAACAAATCTGGAAGATGTGAAAGCATCTCTATTACAAGTGCTAAGAAAATGTTAGTTTGCAGTGTAGGTGGTACCTGGGAGCAATCGCGAGTCTCCAACTCACCTTCTCTTATGTAACAAGAGTGAAGGGCTTAAGCCCAACATTTGGTTCTGCATTTCTGCTAATTTATTGTGATCTCTAATACTACATCTCAGAGGTTAAAACTCTGAAATCTGACTAAAGATAACATTTGTCATGTCAATTTTTGAATGAGGATGGAATAGCTACTGATGTATGTGAAATCTTCTGGGTTTAGTGCAAATTGTGTGGAATTTTCCAAGCTACGGTTTGGAAAATTTAAAAAGTATTCTCAAATATTTCTGGAAACATTTTAATGAGTCATGGTACAATCTGAAATCCATCGAGTCTGTATCGGTGCCAGCAGACAGTCGCTCATACTCTTCATTGATGTATAGACAGTGAGTCAAAGCCTGTGCTCAGACATGAGCAAGTAACTGTCAAAGGAAACCACGAGTGATATTTAGCCTATTAATGTCACTTTTTTTTCCCTTCTTTCTTAAAAATAAATAGCTGGTATGAGTTGGGAAAAATCACTGTGGCCTTGTACAGTCTCCTGCACCTCCCCAGTCTCATCTGTTTTTTTCCCCTACTGGGGTTCAATCAAGAAATGGGACCACCAGGGGCACACATGGAGTATGATCACCAGAGGACAGAAGGCTACAAAATAAGAAGGAGCTGGGTTTCAGGTGGAGAAACCATCCAGCAGTAACACCACCCGAATGCATCTGCTTACCATCACCCCTCGCACACCCCCGCGGGCACTTTACATATTGCTGTGGAGCCCTGATAATCCGACTCAGGGGAATCTCATTACTGTACTTACCAAGACATTTTGTTGCACTCTAGATGCTCCCAAAGGCAGTCTTAGCTGTGTGGTCTGCCTTTTCTCCAGCTTTCTAGTGCCCAGTCATCTTCTGTGTGTTGTTGCCAATGCTGTGGTATAAAGCACTTGTTTTAACCCTACAAATCCTGCATTTAGCTACTGAACGTGGTAAGGACTCTGATGTCGATGCATTCTGTGTAAATTGATGTCTTCCTTAAAACCCGTCTGTTCAAAAGCCTGTACCACGTTTTGCAGTCACAAGTGCAGGTCGTTGCGTGTCTAACATGGAATTATTCTCTTCCCAGACTGCTTATCCTCCGACACATTACATTCGCAGAGTGCCCCAGAGGAAGATCCACTATTTCACAGGCTTGCAGGTCCTGCAGCTCCTCATCCTCTGTGGCTTCGGCATGTCACCATTGCCCTACATGAAGATGATCTTCCCTCTCATCATGATAGGGATGATCCCGATCAGGTATGAAGCTTGTCTGCCTTTTTTTTTTTTTTTCTTCTGTTTCCCATGCCTTTTGTCTTCAGGTGGGGACTGCAGGAAGTCTGAGCAGTCTAGCAGGGCAGCTGGTACTTTCTTGAGTAGCCAGATCCTGGAGGTGGGTGATGGTGACCCCTTCTTCACCACCTGCTCAGGCTTGAGGAGGAGCAGTGCTGAGAGGCTGTGATTTCACTGATGCTGGCTGTTGTGCAAAGGGTTCTGGGCTGGCAGGTGCTCTTTTTCTAGCTAGTGGGGAGGCAGAGAAGTCTGCTTTTGCAGTGCCTGTGAGATGCCTGATCTTTCTGAGAAGCTGTAGTCTGAGTCTTCCCTCTAGGTATTTGATAATGTTCCTTATTGCTTTGCAATTTGATTTCCTAAGGCCTGTGCTCAGAACAGAGCTAGAAACTTTTCCCAAGGGAAATCTTTATCTCTCATCCAGTGCTGTGGCAGCCTTACAGACCTCCTGCACTGCTGAATGGCATTGCCAATGGTCAGTTAGCTCAAACTGGCCACATTTAGTCTTAAAATGTATCTTTAAAACTGGGAGGACCCCACAATATCTTGAAGTCTTGAGAGAGAATCATTGAGAAAATCAGCTAATTTCTTCCTTAATGTTCGTTAACAGTGACTGCCCATCATTCTCCAGTTAAATCATTCATGCTCTCTATCCTTGGATATAATGAGAAGCCATAATAAGATCTTGGAAGGAACAGATCTGTTTCCAGTCCAGTGGATTATTTTTAGGCCAGCATGGCGTCCAGTGATATCTGATTGTCTCTGGGTTTGCAGTCTTGATGAGTTTTCTGTCTGATCTCAAAGTTCAGGGCTACCAATGTCATAATCTTCACTGTGATGTTTTCCTTGGGTGATAAAGATGGGTCCAGTTCTTTCTAAAACAAAAGCAAATGTCAAAACTACCATGGCTTTCAACAGGATCAGGTTAGAGCTACTTGGGCTGGATTTCTAAAGATAAACAAAATCTGGGAAAACACTGAAATTATTGTTCCCGTGGCAAGAATCTCTCACCCACCCTTCACACAGGCGTCACTCCAGATGACTGGTTAAGTGGCTGGTAAATACTTCAACTGCGTGCAGTGCTGGATGATTGACTCTCGTGGGAATTGCAAGTCTCCACAGAGAGCGGCTCAGTACAGAAAAGAAAACGTGGGATACCCTTTGCCAAACGTTCAAATATCAGACATAGTGTAATCTTAATTTGGAGAGAGTGCTGTCAAAGAATCTGATTTTTGTAATAAGAGCTAGATAGTTCAGTGGTGCGAATATATCTTTAAGAAAGATACTGTTGTCTAAAACTAGCTCTGTTGCTAACTCGTTTCTCTTTCCGGAGCAGTTTTTTTTTTCTAGTAGCTGGATAATCAGCCCTGCTGCTAAAGGGAAGATGGTGCTGCCTGGCACAATACAGAAATTCACCCTTGGATTTCCTTTCTCTGATCTCTTTTGCCTTCATGTAGTTTCTGTGGGCTCCAGCCGAGAAGGCAGCACCATGATGTGTGAGCTCTGTAGTTAACAATGACTTTTTTTCACAAAGATTTGGCACTCTAAATAGATGAGACACAGCAGAAGAAATGAAATATCTTTTCTCTTTTCTTTTTTAAGAAAGTGAAGGGAGGAAGAGGAGATGGGACAGTAGCCAGGGGTCAAAGTCAAGAATCAAACCCAGATGAGTGAGTCATGGCTCAGTGTCCCATCCAGAAAACCAGCCATGTTACTTGTCTGTCTCATAGCCACGTTTCCATCTGTCCAACAGTGTTAGATTCATGATTTGCATTGTCAGTGGTGAGGGACCATCTTTTTCCACTGGTGTAGCGTTAATGTGGAAGATAATGTTTTTTCAATGGCTTCTCATTATTGCGGTGGAGAACAGCCCGTTGGGAGAAAATGTGATCTCTTTGGGTATCCCCAGTTCCTGGCTTTGATTCAGAACTTTGAGATGACTAGTTTTTGGTTGCTCAGACAGGAAGAGCTCCTTTCCAAGTTCTCTGTGATGCTTATCTCTGCTCTCTCAGCTCTTGAGCATTTTGTTTCATATTTTTCTCTTTTTTTTTTTTTTTTTTTTTTTTTTTTTT